GCAGGAATCTCCAGCATGGCACCTTTTCTGATGGCCGGCCAGTGTTTTTAGAAAGAAGGCGGGGCCAGGTAGAGCTTTTGCCCAGCAAGCCTTCTGATTGGCCACTGGAGATTTGATTGGCTGTACAAGTTTTTTTTTTAAATGTTGCTTTGGCAGCAGCTGCCACCACAACAGTCGCTTTCTTTCAACCGCCGAGTGACTGGAAGAAAGCTGCAGCAGCTATTTTGTAGCTGGTTCCGCCTCCTGCGGCAACCATTTTGTTGCTGTGCCCACCATGCCACATCAGAAGGCTAAATGTGCCCGCAGGCCAGGGTTGCCAGCCTCCAGGTGGTAAATAATACAAAGGCCGAGGGTCACGGTGTTAGGAAGGTTTGTTGCTATCTTAAGAGTTTTCGTGCTCACAAAGAGAAATTATTGTGCCTTATGTCCTTTATCTCCTGCCAACCTAGCAGTTCGAAAGCAAGAAATTGCAAGTAGATAAATAGGGACCACTTTGGTGGGAAGATAACAGCGTTCCGTGCGCCTTGGTGTTTAGTCATGCCAGCCACATGACCACGGAAACGTCTTCGGACAGCGCTGGCTCTTCGGCTTTGAAATGGAGATGAGCACCGCAACCCTAGAGTCGGATTCGACTGGCTTTCAAGCAAGGGAACCTTTACCTTTACCTTTATGTCCTTTATAGGAGCTGCAGTGACTCAAGTGGTTAAGACGCTGAACTGCAGGCTGTGGAAGGTCGGTAGTTCAGCAGTTCGAGACCCGAGTGGGCCACATGTTGGAGTGAGCTCCCGTCTCTAGTTCCAGCTCCTGCCAACCTAGCAGTTCGAAAGCAAGAAATTGCAAGTAGATAAATAGATACCACTTCAGTGGGAAGGGAACAGCGTTCCGTGCGCCTTGGTGTTTAGTCATGCCGGCCACATGACCACGGAAACGTCTTCGGACAGTGCTGGCTCTTCGGCTTCGAAGCGGAGATGAGCACCGCAACCCTAGAGTCGGATTCGATTGGCTTTCGAGCAAGGGAACCTTTACCTTTACCTTTTTATGTCCTTTATATAAATCACAGTCCTGGGAAAAGATTGTATTCGAAATGGGTAAATCACTAGAGTCCCCCGGGACTAGTGATCATGATACTGACAAGGTGCTGTCTGAATATCTGCACGGAATGTAAACCTGCACTTTGATGTTTTGTTATGGGCGAGCCCCATTTTCGATCATATTCGACACCAATATTTATGGGACAGTATAGGAACTACGACTACTGGCACGTTATTATGGTTTTAGAATTGTTTTAATGGTAACTTATGTTTTAACGTAACTTGTCTGTTTTTACGTAAGCTGCCCTGAGCTGGCTTCGGCTGGAAGGGCGGGGCAGAAATTCGAAAAATAAACAAATGAATGAATGAAAAATTAAAAAGCACAAAACTGATCTGTCTTGAACACAGGGCTATTTTGGGGCAGGAAAGCACAGGAATGGAGTTCCGGCTGGCTCCCAGGTTGGCCATGCCCAGCAGGAACCTCATTAGCATAATAGGCCACACCCAACAGCAGAAACTCATTAGGATTGGCTACATTAGGGGTGTGTGGCCTAACATGCAAAGGAGTCCCTGCTACAAAAAAGCCCTGGGTTTTGACAACAAAATTAAAAAGCACAAAACTGATCTGTCTTGAACACAGGGCTATTTTGGGGAAGGAACGCACAGGAACGGAGTTCCGGCTGGCTCCCAGGTTGGCCACGCCCAGCAGGAACCTCATTAGCATAATAGGCCACACCCAACAGCAGAAACTCATTCGGATTGGCTACATTAGGGGTGTGTGGCCTAACATACAAAGGAGTCCCTGCTACAAAAAAGCCCTGGGTTTTGACAACAAACAAGGTAAACAGAATAAGAAGCAAAAGGTGGGTGTGGCTGGATGACCACACTTCTGGTAACATGGGGGTGCGGCCTAATGTGCTAATGAGCTGTGCTGTCAGGGGTGTGGCCCAATATGCTAATGAGTTCCTGCTGTTGGGTGTGGCCTATTATGCTAATGAGTTCCTGCTGTTGGGTGTGGCCTATTATGCTAATGAGTTCCTGATGGGCTTTTTCTACAAAAAGAGCCCTGCTTGAACATAACCTCCAGGGGGGGGGGGGCTGGAGATCTCCTAGGATTACAACGAACCCTACATTGTAGCCGTGGCTGATTTCACTGTGCATTTTCTTAAAACCCACACTGAAGAAGAAGAGGGGGAGATTGGATTTATACCCCGCCCTTCACTTGGAGTCTCAGAGCGGCTTACAAACTCCTTTCCCTTCCCCTCCCCACAATAGACACCCTGTGAGGGAGGTGGGGCTGAGGGATCTCTCCCGAGGACTGCTCCTGAGAGAACAGCTCTGAGAGAACTGGTGACTGACCCAAGGTCACACCAGCAGCCACATGTGGGGGCGTGGGGGAACCAAACCCGGTTCTCCCAGATTAGAGTCCGTGCTCCTAACCACTACACCAAACCGGCTCTCACTGGGGGTGAGGGGCAGCTGCTAGCTATTAGTCATCAGGATTTCCAGCTGTAGACAAGAGACGACGAGCCAGGTATAGACGGAGCAAGGGGAAGGCCGGAGCCTTCGCCCTGCAGAAGTGACACTCACATAGATCAGATGTTCCCGGTACCGAATCAGCAGGTTCCGGAGGATGCCGGCTTCATTCAGGTCTCCCAGGCGGATCATGTCCTCCACGCCGTGGATGGAGGTCGGGTGCATTGGCTTAATGTGACTTGCTTTCTGAGGGGATATCCAGTGCTCCTAGGAAAAATCAGGGTGTGACATCACGCATGTGTCAGACATCCTCAAAAGGAGTCCAAGTACCAGAGTGTCACACACACACACACACACCGATAATAATAATAATAATAATAATAATAATAATAATAATAATAATAATAATATACTTTATTGTCATTGTACATAGTACAACGAAATTAAAGGTGCAATCATTTCAGTGATCTACAGCCATACTCATATACACTCACACAACCATTCACAACCATCCCATAACACCCTTAAAGTTCACATTGCAACTTAAACCACCAATATCACCCAAATTCCAATTTCATACAGCATTTAAAGCAACAATAGCTCTCGAATAAAAACTGTTTTTTTAATCTGTTTGTCCTTGTTTTAATTGTCCTATATCTTCTACCCGAAGGCAGCAGTTCAAACAGGGAGTGTTCAGGGTGTGACAAATCCTGCAGAATGTTCTTTGTTTTTTTCAAGCATCGAGAACTATACAATTCCTCCAGGAACGGGAGAGGGCAGCCAATAATCTTCTGGGCTGTGATGATAACTCTCTGGAGTGCTTTCCTCTCCACAGCCGTACAGCTGGCAAACCAGGCACAGACGCAGTATGTTAAAATGCTCTCTATTGAGCAACGATAGCTGCATATTGGCGGAGCCTCCTTGCTGCTCCCGGTAAGATCCCCCCCCCCCCATCCCTGCCAGTTGCCAGGAGGGACCTGGCCAATGCTCCCTCTAAGCTGTAGAGTCTTGTGAGCAAAAATTCTGCTTTGTGGGCTACTGGCACTAAGGGTGTGAGCGAGCGATTTGGCTATTGCATCGATTAGTTTGCTCTGAAGCCGTCCTTCCTGAGCGAAGGCAAAAATGTGTGAGCCGGAGGCTAAAAAACTGAACTAGCTCACACTGACTCAGTATAGAGGGAACAGTGGACCTGGCAACGCTACCCTCGAGAGGCGGAATGAAAACCTACTAAATTTGCTGCGAACTGCCTTGAGCCTGCTTGCGGGGGGGGGGAGATTATAAGTACAACTAAACAAACAAACCAACAAAAATTCTATTTTGTGAGCTACTCGCATTAAAGTTATGAGTGAGCAATTTGGCTGCTGCATTAATTAGCTCGCTCTGGAGCAATGTTCCCTCTAAGCTGAGTTAGTGTGAGCGTATTTCTTTCTCCGTGTTACGTACATTTTCTTCATCGTCTACCACCTGGATCTGCCCAGAATCACACAACTTGACCACTGCTCCAATGGGTACGTCAAATTCCCGGCCCGTCTTGAGGTCCATCCATACATAATCCCCCTGGGGGGAAAAAAAACACAGGAGAGGGGCAAAATGTGAATTTTGAGCAAAGACATTTTGAGCATCTTGGAAAGGCACAATTTGGGGATAATCACCTACCCCAGGGCTCTTTTTGTAGAAAAAGCCCAGCAGGAACTCATTAGCATAATAGGTCACACCCAGCAGCAGAAACTCAGTAGCATATTAGGCCACACCCCTGATTGCACCACTAATTAGCATATAGGTCACACCCCCATGTTACCAGAAGCCACACCCACCTTTCGCTTCTTATTCTGTTTACCTTGTTTGTTGTCAAAACCCAGGGCCTTTTTTTGTAGCAGGAACTCCTTTGCATGTTAGGCCACACACCCCTAATGTAGCCAATGCTAATGAGTTTCTGCTGCTGGGTGTGGCCTGTTATGCTAATGAGTTCCTGCTGGGTGTGGCCAACTTGGGAGCCAGCCGGAACTCCGTTCCTGTGCGTTCCGGCCCAAAAATTGCCCTGACCTACCCCCTGAACTGTGTTGCGACCTTCCCCCTTCTTGGAGACAACTGCCAACATTACCTAAACCCGTACAAAAACTAGTCAGTTGTACACTGTAAATCAGGAATGGATACCCAAAGAAAAAACACATTTTTCAAGGGGTTCATTCTAAGATCTGTTTCCTTCTTTTCATTTTAATAGCATTTTTATTGAGTTTTGTATATTTTTACATCCTATATTACTTGTTAGTTGTATACAGTATCTTTCAACAACATCTAATAAGCAAGAAGAGAAATGTTATCCATACGCACAATACTTGTTAATAAAACACAAAGTCTCTATATTTCTGAGGTAGTGCATATAATCGGGGTTGACAATCAGTAAGATATTAAAAAAACACAAACCATTTTCCCAAAAAATTATTAACACCTTTCGGATTGTCAAAAGCTATTAATTGGATAGCGATTTTATCTGAAACTATCAAGTCCCACAGTTTAGATCTCCATTGTGACAGATTTGGTACCTTAAACAATTTCCAATTTAAAGCAATTAAGTTTTTTGCAGCCATTACCATAGTAGAAATTAACTCTTCGTTCTGTTTAGACAGCTTCAGACCTGGCCAAAAATGTAACAAAAGAGATGCAGGTGTATTTGGAATCTCATAAATAGTTATTTTCAGGGGTCGTTTCGTAGAAAAAGAGCTAGGGGAACTCATTAGCATAACTCATTAGCATATGCCACACCCCCTGACATCACCGGAAGTGTGTCATAAGGCCACACACCCCGCCCCCAACGGTCCCGGCTGGCGGTAGTGCAATGAAGCCCCGCGAAGGCCCTCCCTGGCCCCAGGCAGGCAGGGGTGGGGAGAGGCAGGGAGGAAGCAACTTACTCTCCCTCTTCTCCTGCCTCCTCCTGGCTGAATGAGGGCCGGAAGCGGGGCGGCCGGAAGCGGGGGGCGGGGCTTCGTCATGTGCCCCGCCCCCGTACCTCACCCGGGGGAACTGCGATCCCCCCCGAAATGACCTCTGGTTATTTTCTTTATTTCAGCAATGACCGTAGTCCAAAACTTCTTAATTCGGGGACAATCCCACCAGCAGTGTACTAATGTGCCTTTATTACGGCAACCTTTCCAACACAAGGGAGTAGTTTTGTATTTACAATGGAACAACTTGTCAGGGGTAAGGTACCACCTTGCGAATAATTTGTAGTGTTGTTCTTTTCCAACAGGGTTCCCGGGATCTTGGCCGTACCAAATCTGTTGGTATTCAGTTGCGTCACCCATCTAGCAGCTGATTTGTAAGAGCTGGTGTTCCCCCTGGAAATTCCAGAGCCTGCCTTCTCTCTGCGGCCACAGTAATGCTCAGCCGCTTCGATGCTTTCCACACACACTAAATAACACACTTTCAGTGCACTTTGCGACTGGATTTTACTGTGTGCATTGGCAAAATCCACTTGCAAACGGTCACTGAAGTGGACTGAAACTGCATTATCTAGCATGTGTGAAAACTCCTGTAACACAGTTCCTCTCTGAAGAGTCACACACCCTTACCTGATGGTAGAACTAGACATTATAAGCACAGCACAATTGTAATACTTTTGCTCTTTCTCTAAGAGTGCCACCAAAGGTTCTCGCCTTAGGTTCTCGTGCGTGGTGGGTTTTAAAAAAAATAATAATAAATTTGTGCATGCGCATAGGCATCACAGTGCATCCTTGTTGAAGGAGGCGTGCGGTGGGTTTTTTAAAAAGAAAACGTTCTGCGCATTCGCATAGACATGACAGCGCGGCCTTGTTGATCCACTCATGTGTAGAGATTTTTTTAAAATGGTGCCTGCTCGGGATGGTCTGACGTCAGACCACCCCGATGGGAGGACTGCACGCTGGTGGAATGATCAGAAGGGTGAAAGTCCGCTGTTGTCCCGCAGGTAACCCTAACCCAGATGTAAAGTGGTATCTTTTAAGAACGGCTCCGAAGTGCGGCAAAACGGGATGCCCACGGAAGAGGGACATTTCCCAGATGTTTGTGTCTGGACATTACCTTTAGATCCGTGAGGCAATTGTGCCTTGCACGGATCTAAAGAGCCGGCTGATCGGACACTTTATAAAGGACACAAACACAAAGGTGGTTTTTTTACTTAAAATAAAAACATGCTTAAAACATCAGCAGTCTTGCAACATTTTGTTTATTGAACAGTGTCTGATAACTGACACCTCTTGCTCTGAATGACTGCATCAAAATGCCTGTGCTGTGTTGCTCTGAATGATTGCATCAAAATGCCTGTGCTGTGTTGCTCTGAATGATTGCATCAAAATGTCTGTGCTGTGTTGCTCTGAATGATTGCATCAAAATGTCTGCGCTGTGCTGGAATCTTGAGTATGCTGTCCAGGTGTGTAAGAGAGACTAGATAGCTAGATAGGCACACCTATGATGACACAGCAGCAGCAGAACTGGAAGAAGAAGCAGAAGACAGCCAGATCCACTGTGGGCCTGATAGAATAGAAGCCCTCCAGGGGCCTCATCCGGCCCCCGGGCCGTGTGTTTGACACCCCAGGTCTAATTTAATGTTATGCTCTTCATACATCCTCTCTCATTCTAGCTGAATCTGAAGAAGTAAGCAGTGACTCACAACAGCTCATTTTGTTGGTCTTTAAGGTGCTTCTGGACTCCTGCATTTTTCTTAAAACATTGTCTGTTTAAATTCTCTGTGTAATTTCTAAAAGGGAAATTTGTATGCAAGCATAGGCATCTCGAATGCCACGGGGGAGACATGCACACTCCCCCTTCATATGCTACGCCAGAATGGCACACGGATGTCATTTCTGCCTTACCAAGAAACTAATAAGGGAACAGCAAACAACCCCTTAAAGGATTACCTTTCTGTTTACTTATGGGACGCCTAAGTTTTTAAATCTCAATGTAATATTCTGTTTCCATCAAGGCAAATCCAACATAATCAAATAGAGACCTGATGATGGAAAATTTAATAAGCATAGATTAGCATGGATTTAAAAGTAATGCACATATGAGCATATGAAGAAGAGAAGAGATTGGATTTATACACCGCCCTTCATTACCCGAAGGAGTCTCAGAGCGGCTTCCAAACTCCTTTCTCTTCCCCTCCCCACAACAGACACCCTGTGAGGTAAAAGAAGAAGAAGAAGAGATTGGATTTATACCACACCCTTCACTACCCAAGGGAGTCTCAGAGCGGCTTCCAAACTCCTTTCCCTTCCCCTCCCCACAAGAGACACCCTGTGAGGTAAAAGAAGAAGAAGAAGAGATTGGATTTATACCCCGCCCTTCACTACCCAAGGGAGTCACCTCCTGCCTGGTTCTTTTAACTGAGGATGCCGGGGATTGAACCTGAGTCCTTCTGCATGCCAAGCAGAGGCTCTGCCACTGAGCCACAGCCCCTCTCCATGGCTCTCCAGGGTCTCAGGCGGAGGTCTTTCACATCACCTCCTGCCTAGTCCTTATAACTGGAGATGCCGGGGATTGAACCTGGGACCTTCTGCATGCCAAGCGGATACTCTACCACTGAGCCACAGTCCCTTCCCAATGTGGATTGTTTACTTTTTCTGCTTTATGAATGTAGATAATTATGTAGTTGAGTACACACACACACACACACACAAAGAATGAAAATGGGATATGCCAATCAGTCGGCAACCTTCTGATGACACATTAAAGTGATATCCTAAATCGCCTTTCAAATCTGAAACACTTCATCAGTTTAAAATGTATTTTGTTTATTTACGTTAGTTGTATTCCACCTTTCTCACAGGAACCCAAGGCAGATTACACAAAGTGAGTTGGCAAATTTGACCAAGTGGGACCCTCAATCAGAAATGCATTGGGATTTTAGAAGTCTGGAACCACCAAAAAGAAGTGAAGCACAGCATAAGTATTCGTATGACACATTAAGCCCAAGGTCCCCGACCTTTTTTGAGCCTGCAACACATTTGGAATTCTGACACGGCACGGTGGGCTCAGGAACAAAATGACTACAACAAAATGGCTGCTGCAGGAGGCAGAGCCAGCCACAAAATGAATGCCACAGCTTAACTTCAGAAGAGTAGGAATAGGAGGAGGAGTTGGATTTATACCCCGCCCTTCACTTGGAGTCTCAGAGTGGCTTACAGTCTCCTTTCCCTTCCCCTCCCCACAACAGACACCCTCTGGGTGTGGTCAGACGCACCATTTGATCTGGTGTCGTGCCAGTTCAGAAACGGATTTTTATCTGCGCGATCACACAGTCAGCATCTGCCTCCCGTCCCCAGCTGTCGCTTTCCGGCTCAAAACTGCTTTAATTCGGAGTATTTTGATACCAGGTCCCCAAGTAGTGTTTTCCTGATTCTCCGGTTCCAGCCGCACTTTTCTGACATCTGATCGCTCCTGCGGTGTCAAGCCACTTCCAGTTTAAACTCCCTCCCCACTCGAAAGCTGCCCGAGGCTTCTGCTTTTCGCCCACCATTTTTTAAAAAGCGTTGGTGGTGCGTGCAGAGGCGGAGGTCCGCCACCGCGTTATTAAAAACAATGTGCCAGAACATAACAGAGTCTATAGACAAGAACCTCAAGGAAGTAGTAGCAAACAGTATACCATCATAACTTAAATAATTTGTTAAACTATGAAATAGAGAAAAAAATAGAATATACTAAACAATACTACTTTGAGAATATAAACAAGCCAAACAGATGGTTAGCTTATAAGGTAAAGAAAGAAAGGGAGAAACGCACTATAATTAAGTTAAGAGATGATAACAACGAGGAAAAATTCAATATGGAGGATCTTAAGAGGATAGTGGAAACATTTTACAAGAAACTATACCAACAAGAGACACAAGAAGGAGTAATAATCACAGACTACTTAAGAGAAAGAGTAAAGAAATTCAATGACCAACAGAAAAAAATATTAAATGACCCCACAACAGACACCCTGTGAGGTGGGTGGGGCTGAGAGAACTCTGACAGGAACTGCTCTTTTTCAAGGACAGCTGTGCCAGAGCTTGTGACTGACCCAAGGTCACATCAGCAGGTGCAAGTGGAGGAGTGGGGAATCAAACCCGGTTCTCCCAGATTAGAGTCCGCACACTTAACCACGACACCAAACTGTGGTTAAGTTATACAGATCTGACCCGCTGAGGGGAAGGCCCAATAAGGAGGGGGGACACCCAACTAAAAGCCTGGCAGAAGAGCTGTAAAAGGTCCCGCAGGGCCCTAATCTTGCATGGGAGCTCATTCCACCAGGTAGGGGCCAGGGCTGAAAAGGCCCTGGCCCTAGTCGAGGTGAGATGGACGTCCCTGTGGCCAGGGACCACCAGAAGATGCTAATTGGCAGATCGTAAAGCCCACTGAGGCTCATAGGGGGAGAGGCGGTCTCATAAATATGCAGGCCCATGGCCATATAGGGCTTTGAAGGTAAGCACCAACACCTTGAAATGGATCTGGTACTCAATGGGCAGCCGGAGCGGAAAAGCGGTTCATGCAGTCCACCCTCCAAAGCTTTTGAGTCTCTGAGTCTACCCTCCAAAGCCACCATTTTCTCTCAGGAGAACTAACTGATCTCTGTCACCTGCATGACAGATACAGAACTGCAAGCCCTCCAAATATTTTTTCAGGGCTCTTTTTGTAGAAAAAGCCCAGCAGGAACTCATTAGCATAATAGGCCACACCCAACAGCAATAACTCATTAACATATTAGGCCACACCCTGACAGCACCGCTCATTAGCCCATTAGGCCGCACCCCCATGTTACCAGAACTGTGGTCATCCAGCCATGCTCACCTTTCCCTTCTTATTCTGTTTACCTTGTTTGTTGTCAAAACCCAGGGCTTTGTTAACTCCTTTGCATGTTAGGCCACACACCCCTAATGTAGCCAATCCTAATGAGTTCCTGCTGTTGGGTGTGGCCTGTTATGCGAATGAGTTCCTGCTGGGCATGGCCAACTCGGGAGCCAGCCGGAACTCCGTTCCTGTGCGTTCCTGCCCAAAAAATAGCCCTGATTTTCATAATGAGTTCACAAAAGAGGTAAAAACTGCCACCATGCCTGGAGATCGGTTGTAATTCCAGAAGATCTCCAGGCCCCACCTGGAAGCTGGCAACTCGAGTTTCCAGCCAGCAGGAAAAGTGCTGGGCTCCACCTTGAGGCTAGGGTTCCGAGGTCTCCCCAGCCATTGGCTGTAGAGTTGCCAGCTCCAGGCTGGGGAAACTCCTGGAGATTTGGGGGTGGAGCCCGAGGAGGACAGAGACCTCAGGGGGGTACGATGCCATAGGGTCTGCCCTCCAAAGCATCCATTTCCTCCAGGAGATGAGCTACAATTCCTGGGGATACCCAGGTCCCACCTGGAGGCTGGCATCCCCACTCAAGGCCCTGCCTGTATTCCAGAATTTCTGCGTTCAAGAGGTGCCACTCTCTGTCTAACAACTGGTGGAATGAGCTCCCAGAAGAGACCAGGGCCCTGCGGGACCTCTCACAGTTCCGCAGGGCCTGTAAAACGGAGCTCTTTCGTTAGGCCTTTGGAGCTGCCACCACTAACTTCAGTAATACCTCTACTCAGGGGTCATTTCGTAGAAAAAGAGGTGCAGGAGCTCATTAGCGTAACACATTAGCATAACTTATTTGCATATGCCACATCTCCTGACATCACCGGAAGTGTGTCAGAAGGCAACACCCACCGCTCAGGCTCCACTGGACTGTTTTGGATTGCTAGCTATGAGGAGGGTGGAGGAACATGCAGCTCTGTCCTCACAGAGGAGGGAGAGCTTGTACCTGAAGGCAGGCTGGGGGGTGGGGCTCTGCAACTTACCTGGCTGCTTCTTGCTCCTTGTGCCCTGACTGAGGGCTGCTGGGAGCAGGGGGCGGGGCTTGTTGCATGTGCCCGCCCCCTGTGTTCCTTACTGCCGGAGCTCCGATCCTGTGTGCTCCCACAGGAAATGATCCCTGCCTCTACTGCCAACAACTGATATCTATGTTGGCGGAACCCTGACCCGCCGGTCCCCTAAACACTGTCCGAGCCAATCACTCGAGACAGTTGAAGAAGACCGAAGAGCTGAGAATCCAGAACCTGACAAAGGTTAGTCAAATGCATGAAAGGGGGCCAATATTAAAAACTTAATGAAGGAAATATATTTTAAAAATACATGTATTTATTAATCACAAATTTTAAAATTATATATGGGCCCAATCAAACGTTGTGTTTAAATAACAAACGATAAAACACCAGGGCTAATAAATCTTGATCCAGTCCCCAACTTCAGGAACCTTATCTTGTTTCCAACACTGCGCATAAGTCATTCTGGCAGTTGTGATCATGTACCACATCAATGTCCTTTTTGCCATATTGACTTCTTCCATTTTAAGTCCCCAAAGTAAAATTTCTGGTTCTTTCTTAAAATTACATTTCACATTTTTTTCCATTTCTGCATGTATTTCAACCCAAAACTGTTTTGCTTTTTCACAAGTCCACCACATGTGATAAAATGAGCCCTCTACCTTTTTACACTTCCAACATTTACTATTCATATTTGCAATTTTTTTGGCGTCATATACCATCCATACATCATCTTAGAACAATTTTCTTTCAAGTTATTACACGTTGATATTTTCATACACGTATTTATTAATCACAAATTTTAAAATTATATATGGGCCCAATCACACGTTATGTTTAAATAACAAACGATAAAACACCAGGGCTAATAAACCGGACCTGACGCGTTTCGGCCTACACAGGCCTTCCTCAGGGGTCAATAGTGAGGACCATAATGGCTATTATATAAATATAGTACAATCATGTAAATACAAAGTATCAATTCAATAAGGACCAGAAGCAATTTGTTTCAAAATAAAACCACCAGGCACAGAGTAAAAACTACAAATGTGGCCTGAGGACAACTTGGCTCTACAACCATAGGAAGGCGATTTCTGGACCAGAAGTTTATATCTGAGAACCACTTGCCATGTGATTGCACTTTTATTGGCCCCCCTTTCTTGCTTTTGACACCTTTGTCAGGCTCTGGATTCTAAGTTTTAGTTTCAGGGTCCCCCCCCTTTTTGTCCCTGAAGACCAAAGAGTTGACCATTAAATGAGGAATGTTGCTAGCACTTTATTATGTCTGAGTTTTAATATTGTATTTATTAATTTATGTGATTTTATGTGATTGTATCGTTGGAATTTTAGTCTGTTTGTCAGCCGCCCTGATCTGGCCCAGGCCAGGAGGGCGGGATAAAAATCTAATAAATAAAATAAATAAAACCAGTACACCACCAAAGATGGACCAGGGGTTTACAAATACAACATGCAAGTAAAGGTAAAAGTAAAGGTTCCCTTGCTCGAAAGCCAGTCGAGTCCGACTCTAGGATTGCGGTGCTCATCTCCGTTTCAAAGCCGAAGAGCCAGCGCTGTCCGAAGACGTTTCCGTGGTCATGTGACCGGCATGACTAAACACCGAGGCGCACGGAACGCTGTTACCTTCCCACCGAAGTGGTACCTATTTATCTACTTGCAATTTCTTGCTTTCGAACTGCTAGGTTGGCAGGAGCTGGAACTAGAGACGGGAGCTCACTCTGTCATGCTGCACCCTGGGTCTCATGCAAGTACCAGATGCCCAAACAACGGATGACTTCTGGGCACAGTTAATCCACTACAATGAGATTTCAGGAGCGGGTCTCCGTTACAGGAGGGTGGGACACCTAACTAGCTGCCGACACAGATCTCTCTTACCGGCAAGAGCGTGGGGGGTTTCAAAACCTGGTTGACGTTACGGAGCAAGGTCCACTTCCCTGGGTCTTTCTTCTGGCCGTCCATCGTGTCCTGGCCTTGGATCATAGCGGCAGAGTCCATCTCATCAGCATTCCACAAAGGCCGCTGTAACTCACAGAGTCCTCCTTTGCACTGTAGACATTTTCTGCTAGCCGAGAAAGGTGGCCGGAGAGGCGACAGGTCAATCTGTGTCTCGGTTATGGGGTAGGAGCCCCATCCTCTCCTTCCTCAAGGTTCTTCCTTTCCCCATGTGCAAGACGGCTCCTTAGCCAACGTCCACGCTTCACGCAAGAGTTTCCGCACGCTCGTGGGAAAGGGGACGTCTCTTCGTCTCCCCGAGGCCTTGTCGCTCTTTCTTGGTGGAAGCCCACACTCAGATCCCAGGTTCCAACTGTTTTAGGTAGCTGAAACGTCAGACTAGAGAACGGTGGGTGGATTATTAAGAAGCAACGCTCTCCTCTATGTTGTGGATCTCTCGAGCTTTTGATATTTTCTTCCCCCGTCCACAGCTATGCAGAGTTTCCCCCCTCTCGCAGTTGTGAGTCCCCCAAGAGCTCTCCTGGATACTTATTAATCCACAAATGCAGCCGGTCCCCCCGGGTGACACATGGCTTTTAATTAACCTAATACCTCCGCGCGCCAAGTTAACCAAAGCACAAGCGGGAACCCAAAACCAAAGGCCATCTGCATTCTCTTTAAACCGATCGCCTGGCCGCTGTGCCATAGCAACGGGATTCTAAATAATTGAGTGAGAGGCATCCTTAGCCATTGGTATGCATTCAACGAGTGCTGCTGGAAGGGATACCCAGGAAAGCTTGCAGAACAGAACTGGCTGCTCTGAGACTGAATTAAGAACTTCAGAAAACTTTGGGGTGGCGAAAGGAATCACCTCTACACACGTCCTTTGCTTTGCCAGCACAACTGTTTTACGTCGTCACGTGTTTTCAGAATTTTCGTGTAAGGAATCCAAAGTAGGTTCTACACAAGCTCAAATCCTGCACGAAGACCAGCCCATGATCCTTGAAAATTTCTCCGTGCCTTGCTTGTGAAACGGGAAACATCTCATTAATAGGGCTGCTACCCTCCAGGCCGCCCCATAGCTACAGCGGGACTTTTGGGGGCTACGCCTCCTTTCTTAAAGGCACAGCCCACAAGAATCTCTCCTGTAAATGCATTTTTTCATTCACTTTTAAACATTTAAAGGCATGTGCTCCTTTAAGCAGAGTGGGGTGCTGTAGTTGACTAATTCCTGCACTGAGCAAGGGGGGTTGGAGTAGGTGACCTCTAGGATCCCTTCTAACTCTGTGTCAAGAAACTGGTCTCCTTTTCGGCCTAAGTGTTAGTTTTCTTGACTACAAAATTCATCACCCCGCACTTGCCGGCTTGTTCTCAGAATTGTTACTTAGTCTGGCGGAAGTGATTAACTTGCAGCCGCTGCAAACTGTCATCTCAAGTGGCTGACAGCTTGCAGTTTAGAGATCTTGACCAGTCACAGCTTTTGATTGGCTAAATGCAGGGGTCATTTCGTAGAAAAAGAGCTAGGGAAACTCATTAGCATAACTCATTAGCATATGCCACACCCCCTGACATCAGGGGCCCGGCAGTGGACCTGCAAGGCCGGCGGGAGTGCGAGGAAGCCCCGCCAAGGCCCTCCCTGGCCCCAGGCAGGCAGGGGTGGGGAGAGGCGGGGAGGAAGCAACTTACCCTCCCTCTTCTCCTGCCTCCTCCTGGCTGAATGAGGGCTGGAAGCAAGGCGGCCGGAAGCAGGGGGCGGGGCTTCATCATGTGCACCCCACCCGGGGGAACTGCGGGGCTTCATCATGTGCACCCCCCTGCACCCCACCCGGGGGAACTGCGTTCCCCCGCGTTCCCCCCTGAAATGACCTCTGGCTAAATGTCTTTTCTTTCTGCACTGAGGACTTCAGCCCCACCAGAAAAGAAATATGCCCCACAAGCCACCAAATCCTGGCTGCGGGCCTGCCTCCAGGTGGTGCCTGGAGATCAACTGAGATTACAACCAGCGTGGCCAACTCGGGAGCCAGCCGGAACTCCGTTCCTATGCGTTCCTGCCCCAAAATAGCCCTGCATCTAATCCAGCATCCTGTCTCACACAGTGGCCAACCAGTTCCTCTGGAGGGCCAACAACAGGGCAGAGAGGCCGAGGCCTTCCCCTGATAAGAACACAAGAAGAGCCCTGCTGGATCAGACCAGTGAGGATCCATCTAGTCCAGCATCCTGTCTCACACAGTGGCCAACCAG